GTGAAACTTGTCAGAAGACGATGTTTCGGTATGTGTTTTTCGTAAACGCCATAAAGACTTAGAACCATTTTTCAATATGGAGAATAACTTGGTTTTCTACAGTAACACTAACGGCTTACTGGCGGCCTTAAATATAAACTATAACCCAGAAGAATGGAGATTGTTTATAGACAGTTCAACATTGAGTTTAAAGGCAGTGTTATTGCATATTTGAAATAGTTTACCATCTCTTCCTGTAGGGTATGCAGTTCACATGAATGAATCATATGACAATATGAAGTACCTATTGAGATGCATAAAATACGATGAGCACCAATGGCATATTTGTGGCGATTTGAAAGTTGTTGCACTTTTACTTGGGCTGCAGCTAGGCTACACAAAGTTTTGCTGTTTTTTGTATGAATGGGACAGTCGGGCAAAGGCACTTCATTACACCAGACAAAACTGGCCTGTTCGTCAATTCCTAGAGCCAGGTCAAAAAAATGTACAGCATATGCCATTAGTAGATTCGAAAAAAAATTTATTACCACCACTGCATATCAAGTTGGGCCTAATGAAAAACTTAGTCAAGGCATTAGATAGAGATGGGTCACCTTTTCAATACCTGCGTCAGAAATTTCCATGACTAAGTGAGGCAAAGGTTAAAGAAGGTATTTTTGTTGGGCCACAGATTCGAAATATTTTGAAAGATACACAGTTTGAGAACACTTTAACAGGTATTGAAAAAACTGCTTGGAATGATTTCCGTCTGGTGGTCACTAATTTCTTGGGAAATAGAAAAGCTAACAACTATAAAACCCTTGTCAAAAATATGCTGTCATCGTATCAAAAGATGGGCTGTAATATGTCTCTTAAGATACATTTCCTACACTCACACCTGGACTTTTTTCCTGACAATTGCGGAGCCGTAAGTGATGAGCACGGCGAACGTTTTCATCAGGATATTTCAACAATGGAAAAAAGGTACCAGGGAAAGTGGAATCCTTCCATGCTTGCAGACTACTGTTGGACTCTTGGTAGAGATGCTCCAGAAACGATCCATAAAAGAACAGCAAAAAGACAGCGCATATAGTGATTCTTATAAGTATATGAATCTTGTTACTTTTTTTAATATATCCTTAAAAATAAAAAGTTTTTTTTCTAAACCGCAACTAATTTTTTTATTTCATTGTCATTTTTGGATTCAGCGCCCCAAAATTAACAAAGAAGTGCACTTTTCCCACAAGATACAATTAAAAAACTAAAATTTGTTGTCCAGTGTTATGTTAGCTTGTTACCATTTTTTGATTTGGTTACTCACTACTTTAGTAGCCGTTTTGGTTACCGTGCAAATAAACATGGATGAGTGTCGCTGCGTAATCGATCAGCTACTTGAAAAGTCATTCTCCTTGTATAATTTTTAAGAAAAAAGAGAGATCATTGAAAATGGAAGACCAACGCCTATTTTAGATAATTTCAAATAGAAATAAAAAAAACGTTGAATGATATTTTAAATTAAGTTGGTATCTGGAAACTTTTGGTTATGCGGTTGCAAAAAAAAAACAAATTTTATTGTTGGCGATGTCTTCTGTTTTATACAGAAAAAAATGGGTGGACCAGCAGCGCAGTCAACGATTTAAATGGTTTTAGGGCTCTAAAGAGGAGATATGAAATTTCTCCGTTACATGTGAGATGTGTAGCCAATTTAACTCAGTTTGGCAAAACAAGAATCGAAAGTTGTTTTAACCAAGCTTTTAGGCAGCACACTTCTAGATACCGTATGTTTTTTGGCGAAACAGGAATTACCGTTCATTTTGAAGGGAATGACTCTGACAATAGAGGAAATTACAGGGAATTGTTAACATTCATTGTCAAAAAAGATCAAAAATTTTCCTAATATCTAGAAAGGTCGACTGTTTTTTCGGACGGCTTGGATTAGTCATAGCATAAGACGATGAGGTATATCATGTGCCCCAGACGCTCAGTCCAGGAATGTTTATCTTAATTTGAAAATAGTTTAAATAAAATACCTAAAATAAGCAAAAACTTATATTTGGGAGGTTCAAAATAAACTTTTTTAATAAGATTTTTCACATCTGGTTTTGGTAACAGTTTAGGAAAAGTCACGCGTCGCCACTGCGGAAATGAGAGATGTTTTTCGAATGTTACTAGACCTAGACCAATACATCACGAAAAACCATGTCACTCTTTTCGGTCGAACTCTCCGTCTCCTAATCCTTCAATCCTTGGTCCTTCTATATCTAGTGCTCGGATTTTTAATGAAATTTTGGCACAAGGTCAGGACATATTTAGCACTTAGCCTTCCCCATGCAATTCAACTAAAATAAAATTAAAACCTATCACGAGCCGGCAGCTGACGTCCTTCCCTCATCACATCTGACATCGCAACATTGTCAGATGGTCAGTACCACTGGTGCATCCCAAAAAAAGTTTGGGTGGGAGGGGGTGAGGGCGGATACAGCCTTTGAGTGAGGGAAGCACTTATACTGATTTCATATATAAACTAAAAATTAGTTGCGCATCCGCAATCTGAAAATTACATATTCAAATTTGCTAAATTCCAAAAAAGAGATCGATAGAAAAAGGAAATCCCTAGTTGGTGAAGTATATTAAAACTAACATGTGAGAAAATATGGTGCATACAAAACGTACAAAAGTTATCTTTTACATTCCACATTAATTTTTATTTCCAGTCATTTAGCGCCTGGATGTGACGCAGTGCAAAAATGTTTTGTATGTGATGCGTCATTCCCAATTTTTTTAGATGTAGCACACACACACAACGCGGGTGTAGTTTTTGGAAACGTGACGAAATCGTAATATATATATAGGTGAAAAATTAAAGCTTTTTGTTGGGTACTTCGACAAAAGGCGGAAGCTTTAATTTTTCACCTAACTAGTCTAGACGACAATGACCACGTCTCAAGTTTATATATATATATATATATATATATTATATATGTACATAACCTGTCTGGGACTGGAGACTAACTATATGAAATCATTTTCCTGACTTAATGCGTTTAATCACTTTGTTGTGAATGCTGGTTAAAAGTGAATGCTAATTAAAACGGCAAGTAAATAGTTTCTTGACATTTTGAATTTACGGTACTTTTCTATATTATCTTTATTTAGAGGATGACAAATTAGAATCTAAATGCCTAAGTGTCCTCATGGACCTGCACTAGATAATAGTGAGGAGTTACCTCATAGCAGGGGTGTAGCTAATGAGGAGGAAGGATCATCTGAGCGGTTACCGTTCATCTCCAAGCATGCCAGTTTATAGATTACAAAAATTATAATATACATTTTCAGTATCTTTATCTTGCTCAGTAAGCAAAACGAGAAGTGCTCTTGGTTGATTCTTATTAAGGTAGTTACCATAGAAGCATGGAATTGTAGAAAATTATTGCTTTCCTCTATCGTACGACGTAAGCTATAATTAAGCGGGGCTGCTCCAAGCATTTCTCTATGGCAGTAAACGTTTTTATTGATATTTAAGCCAGAATGGAGTAAAAATGCAAATTACTCTTTCGAACTAAATGCTTCAACAGCAACAATATGATATGCAGCCACAGTTACATACCTTTATAAACAATATTCAATCTAAATTATTGCAATAAGACAGCATAAAGTGCCATCCATTACCAGAATTGACCACTACGAAAGTGAAGACAGCAAGCTATCTGTTAGAACTGTATCCCAGTTCGAATTGTCAGCCGTCTGTATCCTTTCTTTTTTTTGTTTACATTTCACACATTAAGGGTTTTTTGATGCATAACGTAGGTTCTTCTACAAAATATCAACTTAAAACTAGCTACTTGCACACTAAAAACTACCCGGTCCGCAAGATGACATTTTTGTCGCTTTTTTTACGCAATACTCTTGCCTGCCTTCACTGTGGTGCTATACACTGAAAACCAAATACCACTGACGTCGTAATGTGTACGATAGAGGAACACGATAAGCCTGCAATAGTCATGTGTCGTTCGCGAACGAGTCGTTCAAAATGAACGACTCATCTAAGTGATCGGCTTTTGTTACATATGTCTCGTTCAATTGTGCGAAGCGTGTCTGCAGTATGCACCACCTGAACTGCAAACTGACAACGTGGTAACAGTACAGACACTATCTAAGGATCCTGGTTGTTTTGTTTTGAGATGTCTCATTAAATTATACGTCGAAATGATGTGATTTGAGAGCAAAAATTGCATTTTGATTCAAAATTCGGTACCGGACCACATATCCCTCCTTTTTTCGGAAGGTTTTATACATTCGTTACATTCAATTCCAACCAAAAATATTAATACTCAAATAAATACAATAACTTCGGCAACCCTAACCCGTCATTTCATTTTCATAGTATGATGTATATTATATTATACTATATTCTCTGACTCAGTGAGTCGTTACTATAGGCAACACAATAGTCTCGCCAGCTTCGAGGCCGGTCGGTATCGTATCGTTCAAATGAACGACTTCGAACGAACGACTCACTGAACAGAGATGAACGAAATGAGCAAGCTCAGAGAAAAGAGTCGTATGTCTGACGCCTAGCCTGAAATATGTTGATATTTTAGAAAGAGTGCGCCAATGGCCGCCGTGACCTTGTACTCGGGTTGCTAGGCAACGAGATGCTTCTATCTCTTTCTAACATACATATCACAGGCTTAACGCGTTTCTCTCTCGAGCACGAAACAGCTGTCCACGGTTATTCGGACGAACGAAAGCTATATTACTAGTCTCTAAATCACTGCATTTTAACCGCGTGGCTAGATAGCCAGATGAACAGCCAGTGGCGTTTATACCACAGTATGTCACTGCAAAGCTTGGCAGTGCTATGCAACTAGGTATAAAACTTGATGGAAACGTTTCGATTTTGCGTGCAGTGTAGCTTTTGTGCTGAGGTAGCGACACCATAAAGGTTGCTCATCGTTGATCTATATGTTTGAAGAAGTACCCATCACTGATCAAATCAATGAAACAAATTATTCATATTCTGTTAATCATAATATAATCAAGTCTTATATCGTTATGTATTCAACAGTTAGAAGAGTAGCCCTTATTTCTTACAACTGATGGACAGAATCATCAATAAAAAATAGAAACGCATCTCGCAATCTCAGTAAGACTAACCTTTATTAACATAGGTATAAAATGTAGAAAAGATAAAACAATTACTGTAATCCAATAGTATCTATTAGTGATTGAACTTTTGCGATGTATTGGTTCTTTGCAGTGTCTTTGTCTAGGCCTTTCTTCGAGTTCCAGGCGTCCCACTTCGCTTTTCCTTTGAGGTCCAGCATTCCTGGCCGAGCTGTACCAAAGAAAAAATGATAAGTACGTTACGATCATCTGTATTCTCATTGTTATTTAGAAAGTTCATGGCCGACATTTCATTTGGATGGAATTATTATCTAATTTACGTCGGCCATGTTTTTAAGTACATTCACGATAGTGTTCCAATTATTTTATCAACTACGAAGCGGTCCGATAATTTTTTTATTTTTTTTTGCATACCCATTCAACTCAGTCGCAAAACTTCGTATCAAACCATCATGTAAAAAACAGAAGAAAATTGCAAGAATTGACTAGTTAGACGTTCTTTGGAAATGCCAGTAAATAACAACTTGATGATGTCAGGTACAATATTTCACGAACAAGATAGAAATGAGAAACCATAGACGACAACGAGTTTTTTAGTAGTAACCAGTAAAATCTATAAAAAAATGCTGATTAATATACATACCAGTATTTACATCACCCACACTACCCTGTTTGAACAATGCATATATTTCCAAGAGATCTGTATCTGAAGGTTTGCTTTTCAGATTCTTAACATCCTCAGCAGCTTTATTGAATTTCTGCAAAAAATACATATTCTGTATACATAGTGATGCAAAAAACAGCGGCAATATTTGTTCCAGAAAAGTAGCAAAAAGATTAACATGGGTCAAAAAAGTGCAATCTTGCAGAGACATTATGTCGAGCTACTGTGGCGAAGCAACGCGATAAGAACAGCGGCGACATTTGTCGCTCCAGTGCACATACTTTTCTTTTTTGATTGTGTAAAAAAATCAGTTCAGTTAGTCTCTATGAGCTAGGTACAAACATGCATAATAAAAGAAATAAATGAATCAAGTCAGCCAAAGAGGCTCATACAGTTAGTCCATACTCGATAGTCGCCACACATTTGATAGTGTTTATTCTAGTTTACTCCCTAAATGTCGGCCATCTGGCAACGGTATCAACCTTGCCATAAGTGCCAGCCACGATACTGTCACTCCAGATCGAGAATACTCGCTCCGCGATGTATGCTCTAGGCGCTGAAGAAAGAAACTAAACCCAAACAAATACACGCATATTGCTCGTGAGTGAGTGTTTAGGCGCAGGAGACATTACAGGACCGCATCAAGATATTATGGGTTGTCATCAAAAATTTCATACAAGATAATTATTATCTTTTACAGTAAATTTCAGTTAGAGATTCATAAATGAGTTAACTACACTTTTTAGTTATTAGTAAGTAAGCTGCGCGCACTCATTCAGAAGAGGAACTTGAATCTTCTGAATCGTTTAAATGAATTATTAGAGGTTCAATTTGGGTATCGATGACATTGTCCAAATCCCACATTTTGACCTCAACCTTCTCCCGAACGTGGCGGATACAGTTTTTCCATTCCTCTGCTGTAACTCTATTGACTGCGATGTGAAAGAGATTTTTAACATCAGAAAATTTATAAGTATTATTATTCGACGCCACGTATTGCTTTATGTTGGCCCAAATCAGCTCAATAGGGTTCAGCTCACAATGGTAGGGTGGCAGTCTCAAGACTGACAAGAATCGTATTTGTATTTATGTCTATTGACTATACTTATCAATTCACCCTTGACCATTGTTTCATCAAAATCGATCTGTTTTGAGGCCAGCCATTGTTGTATGTTTGCTTTTTTAGTTGCCATTGTGGGAATTTTTTCTATTTTTCTAGAATGGTACGGGGCATTATCCAGTACAATAACAGCGTTATTCTCCAGCTTTAGTAACATTTTGGAGAACCAATTTTCAAAGGAATTGCCGTCCATCTCCTCATGATAGTCCCCTGTCTTTTTTGATTCAAAGGCCCACAGTGCTTCGGGAACAAAGCCGTCTTCACTACCTACGTGACAAATGATCAGCCGTTTGCCTTTTCCTGGAAATAAATTATTCCTTACACTATGGATTGATTAAATTTGAAGGAATGAGGCAATTGAGTTCATTTAGCTGAATTTAAGAGTCACGGAACTCTGATCAAAAACTGAAAAACGTAGAAAATTGAAGTTTGCAACTTCTCAAAACCCATTCAAAGCAAATCGACTGCACCCAAAAATGATAATAAATTTCAAAATAACGCTTAAAAGAGGGTCGAAGTTTTTTTCCTAATGACTACACTGCGAATGCACCATTTTTGGAGAATATCACACATTATCTGCTATCACAGCATATTATTTGCCCGAATTTATCAAAATTAAATTGCCGGATAGATGAAGGAGCTTACCTGCAGGATTTTTCAATCCAGCCGAAAGACCGTCTAGAAAAGCCTGCCTTGATGATGTTACTGATTTGTCGACCCAAACTTTCGCTTGAGTATGTCCAGCATTCACCCACGTTTCATCCAAATAGTAAATTTTTCTTTTTTCATCGCGAAACTTCCGAATCTTCCTAAGGTATTCCCTTCTCCACACAACAATTTCTTCTTTCTCTATTAACATACTGTTTCTTCCCCGTTTCAAGAATCGAAAATTAAGTTCCTTCAAAAGTTTTCGGAATGTGGTTCTTTTAAATGATGGAAGATCTCATTTCGGAAGAAAAAATTATGCAATTTCCTCCTGATGGCAGTTCTGTCAAAGTCATCTACTCCGTCCGTTATCCTTTTTCTTGCAGGATACGGTTTTGGCTCAGAAAGTGAGTGAGTGCTCCTATATTCCTTAATGATCCTATAAACACTGGACCGACATACTCCAGAAATATGTGCTACATTACATATAACTTCGTCCACGACCAAATCGGGTTTTTCTTGAATTTGGTTTTTGTATATATTTAATATTATTTGTTTTTCATTTGCACTTAAATGTAGCTTCTTAGCCCTTTTTTTGGGTGGGGTTGCGCTGATGTCAACCACTTCGTCGGCTGTATCTGTGTCAGACATCGTATCTTAGGCAATATATAAACAAAACGTTCCACTCGCGAAAAACGAGTATATATCCTGTGCGTGAATTAACTGTTAGATGCCTGTCGTGTCATCTACAATCACGTTTACAAGTCCAAACCTGTGCAGATTCGTAGAGCGCCGACGACTGCTAGTGACCTTGACTTTGTCTGTAGATCGATGTTACTCCAGTCAATTTAGGTTCAAAGTGGATGTTTTCTAAACCAATTTGTTGTTCCTACATCAAAAATATATCGATGATGTTTTGTACTGGGAGCTCATGAAAGATCAAGGTAACTTATTTTAACAGTCATCTTTTTTCTAGTCTCAAGATGACACGAAAAGGGGTCTGTGGATTCACTAGAAATACACTGCCGAGGATGTTTAGACCTAAAGTGACTGGAGTATATCCGTGGATGCTTTCGAGGGATCTGTTCACGTGCTGATCACTGTTTACGTTTAATGTCTTTCTTCAGCGCCCAGATTATAGTCAGACACACACATTCTGGCGCATGATGGTTGCCAACGTCCCAAACAACCGCGTGTCACGTCTGTAAATATTTTAAGTTTTAAGCGCAAATTTACGGGAAAATCAACCCTCGATTTTTGACTCCTACATTTTTTTAACGAACATCATCAAAAATACCATTTCAATACGGAAAATGTAATATTTTTTGATAATATGTGATATTTTCATAATGAAGATCAAGTCGCTTACTCTTAACAGTCTGACTATTAGCGATTTTTTTCAGTAACCATTGCAGCGATTTTAACGGATTAAGAGACGAAGTACCTAAGTAATGCTGGTTTATGACATCACTCTTTTTCCATTGATATCCTTGCACATTGAGAGCATGGCCAATAGACAGACTAATGGAAGTGGGCGACTTCTATTTTCATGATGAAGGCACCATACAATATCCTAAAATACTACATTTTCCATACTTACGCGTCGCAGTAAAACAATGAAGTCACTGCAAAAAGGTATTTTTACCCACGAGAAAATATGTTGTATATGCTAAGACCGTACGTAGAGTGCGGAGTATGCCGCGCGACTGATTTGATACGAATTTTTGACTTTCGCTCTTTACACTTGACAAACCATCAAGGTGTTGAAAAAACGTAACCATTGTTGTAGAAATATGTTGTTTACAAAAAATGATAGTAGTTTCTATTTGGTTAGGTTTTTTATCTCGTATCCTGTTAACAACTGTACAACAAATTTTCATAAAGGGTGTTTCTATAAGAGCTCCGGATTAGATTCTCAAGAAAAACACAATTTCTTTTCGAATTAACGTAGTATTTATATTCCAACATGAAGAAGAATAGTTGCGATTAAACATGAAGTAGGACATCCGGTAAATGGCCACCACGAAACCTCTAGCACAGGGTCAGTCTTTTCTTAAAATTCTGGATAACGTTTTCACACAACTGTGGCTCTATTTCGTCGATAATGCGCCGTATCTCCTTTTTAAGGTATTCAACTGTTTGTGACTTGTTCGCATACACCTTTTTCCTCATATAGCCCCATAGCATGATCTTGGTGGCCAATTTTGATCATCAAACCGTGAAACTTGACCAGCAGTAACACCATTGGGTGAGGTGAATAAAAGAGAGTAAATGCTTTTACTTCATAATTTTAAAGTAAATTCTTGGTAGTAAGTGATTAATAAAACTTTTACTTGTACTTGTCAAGCAAACACTTGCTATCTCGAGTTATTACTCCTAAAGTAACTATTTTGAGTGTTCACTTACGATTGGAGTGAATAACAGTAATAGAAAACTACGTATTAAGTAAATACTTTCATTTTCGCAAGGTCTAAACTAAATTATGGCAGCATTTATGAATATACGTAAAGTTAAACAATATCGTGATCGAACAGATCTCAGATATAGTGCAAAACGTCTTTTAAGGTTTGAAAATGAAAATATCGATTTTACTACAAACTATTTCTTACCAGAAACCAACGAAACTCGAGGTGGTGCTCTGTCCTTAAGAAAATATATTGAAATATTTCTCCGGTATATTAGCGACCCTGGTTTTCAAAGTGGTGTTGCAAACGATTTTGGTATTGAAAGAACAACGGTTTGTAAGACTGTAGACTATTTTGCACAAAAAATTATGGAGAAGGCAGGGCAATGGATAGTGTTTCCAACAACCGAACGAGATTTAAACGAAGCAAAGACAAGTTGGGTGGCAAAATACAGGATTCCCACCGTAATTGGCGCACTTGATTGTACCCATATACAAATTAAGAAACCTGAAGTGCAGTTTGGCGATGAGTACATAAATGGGAAAAATGTTGCTTCATTAAATGTTCAGATGACATGTGATGCAATGGAAAGGATCACAAGTATAGACGTGCAATGGCCTGGAAGTGTGCACGATAGTAGGATTTGGAGACAAAGTGCTGTGCAACAAAAACTTGCAAGATTCCAATGGAATGCTTGCTTGCTAGGGGACAGCGGATATGGTATATCTCCATCGCTTTTAACACCATTTAGACAACCACAAACTGAATCAGAACGGCGGTACAACAGATTACATTCAAAAGAAAGAGTTGTAGTAGCACGTGTATTTGGCCAACTAAAACAGCGCTTTCCAATTCTAGCAAATAGGATTAGACTCCCAATAAGGAAAGTACCGAAAATAATCATATGTTGTGCTATACTTCATAATATTGCTAAGTATTTGCAGGATGAGTGGGACTATGGAATAGAAAATAATAACGACGATCATGATGCTGTCCCAGAAATTGTTGAGCAAGAGCAAGGAGACATCCTAATTGTTAGTAATCTTGAGCTTTCTTGTGTCCGACTTAAAATAACTTAGTTAAACAAAAATATACAGAAACCTAAAGAGATTTATACGACGCGTAAGGTTTACAAAGCAAATACTCGTAAATAAGACGATTTAAATATGTGAATAAGGATAAACAAGCTAAGACTTGCACTCGCCGCAAGTATTACCTCAATATTAACAAGTAGACCTTTCTGAGTCATGCCTTACAATTATTCACTCATTGCCAAGAATTTGCTTCAACTCTCAAGGCAACACTTTTCTCGTCAGTAAATGCTTATGAAGTGCTTACTTGGTTTTATTCACCTCACCCAATTGTTTCGCGTCCTGTGTGGCAGGTCGCACCGACTTGTTGGAAGAACATATCCTCCACATCAATTCGATCCAACTGGGGCCACAAAACATTTCGCGATACCGGACACCATTAGCAGTTGCCGCAGTTCCAGCTCCATTTTCGAACAAATACGGTCCAGTCACTCCGCCACTCCACAATGAGTACCAAACGGTTACTCGCGGCGGATGCATTGGTTGTTCGAGAGTTTTCAGAACCCCAAATTGGGCAATTCTGCTTATTGACGTACCCGTTCAGTTGAAAATGTGCCTCATCAGAGAAAATGATTTTCTTCGAGAAATCCGCATCAATTTAGTGGTGCTCCAGCGCCCAATCAACGAATTCATGGCGCTGCGCATGGTCCGTTGACTTGAGTTCTTGCGTCAGTTGAACCTTGTACGCATGCAAGCATAGATCTTTTATCAAAATTCGTTGCAGAGTGCACTGGCCCAACCTTTAAACCAGCTTGCAATTCCAAATATGAATACTAGAAAAACTCGATAATGTTACTTTTTATAGATATGCAGTATAAATTTTTAATAATTCAAGGCGAACACAAATAATGTTATTTAACATTACGTCTCGCTTATTAACTCACCTCGTCCAGGGACATAGTGACTGAAACAAAAGAAAATATTATTAGAGATTGTGCCGAAAAATAGACTGCAACCAAATGAATAAATACATTATATACCTAACCACTAATTAAAAATCGAGAAATGACCTTGTTTCACAAAAGTCGATAAATTCTTTGTTGTTAACAAATATGAATGGCATAAATTTTTTTTTAGAACTACCACGAAGGCCTAAGGCCTAAGCACCCATTGGGTACCGTGGGACTATAGGGGGATACATGGGAAAGGGGGGGACGCCACACGGACTCTGGCGAGGGAACACGTGTGCATGCAACATGCACACATTCTGGCTCCGCCTACGAGAACCGCCGGGTGGTACCTCCGCGTTCGACAGTCAGAGACTATCTACCCACCTACGGACAATCACAACATCCATAGCCGAGAGAAAATAATATATATATATATATATATATATATATATATATGTTAGTATGAGTGAGGAACGTATTGATATAGGTTAATATATTTTTGTGGCGCTTTAATCATGACCTGACAACCTTTGTCGCATTCAGCGGCTCAATTTCAAATGATTATGTGTAGAACAGTATCGGGTAATGCTACTGCATTTAACCTAAATATACCAGTACAACCTTTTTAAATAACAATAATGGTACGTTCATGAAAATACATTTTCTTACTTGTATTCTACGTCTAACTTGTATTTAGTTCCAAAAGATAAATTTATGAATATATAATTTAGACTTATCTAACCTACTCAAGAGCTCACCTGATGCCATAATCATTAATTTTTTAAATATACTATCTCAGTTCAATACCAATGACGCACAAATCAATGCAGTTCGTAATACTATTATCGCTTAATAATTATTGTGTACTCGTATAGCCAAACCGTGTGTTTCTTACAAACCGTGGATTCTTCAGGACTTGTAAAATAGGCATATCTGTATTAACAAGAATTTTCAACTGTCACCAAACCCTTTTGACGTTTTCCGAATATTTTATTACAATTTAAAAATACTTGATAATTTTGACATTGTGTGCGTACATTGGAACTTAGCATACGCATAGAAAGTACATGCAGATGACAAATCATGGTGTGAGCTCTATAGGCTTCAATTTTGTGGAAAGGGAGTAGTTCAAAATATTTGTAATGCATTTCCATAGCAGAAAATGTTGTACTAAGGGTTTATTCGGTTGCATATGCTGTTGACGATTGGCAAGGAGAAAGGTACACTAGAAAGGCTTTTTTGGCATGTGAAATCGTCAGAACAATCACGGATGGAAGAAAACGGCTTGAAGTTATTGCCTGAGGAGACGCAAGTATTTATACTTTCTGGCAGACAGAACCTAACTTCATTGGCTGAAAAGGTTGAGAACGTTGAGATTCTAAGCCAAAATGCTTTTATGTATGTGGGTGTATGGATGGACAGAGACCTGAAAATGACCGAATATATAAGGCGCACCACCGACAAAGTAAATAAAAGGGTCAGCCTTAGCCCCCCTGCTCTACAACATCTATACTCACGATGTGCCGAAGACAGCTGACACAATGCTGGCCCTATATGCAGACGACACTGCTATAGCCGCCAAGCATAGACGACCCGAGATCATCCGTAGGAGACTACAGGATGAACTGGACCACATTCAGGACTGGTGCGTGAAATGGAAAATCCGCATCAACGTCCAGAAGACGCAGGCAATCTTCATTCAACGAAGAAGGATTGCAAGACCTCTCGAAGCATCCATCTTCGACGAAGATATCCAGTGGAGCGACAAAGTCAAATATCTGGGGATCGTATTTGACAAGTCCCTCACCTGGAAAGCCCACATAGAAGCTGTCATCGCAAAGACCAGAGCAGCCATGGCCCAACTCTACCTATTACTGGGTAGACACAGCCGTATGCCGCTAGCGACCAAGCTACGGCTGATCAAGGCCATCGACAGACCTCAGCTCGCTTACGCCTGCGCGGTCTGGGGGTACGCTGCCCCCAGCTACCGCAAGCGACTTGCTGCTCTAGAGATGAAGCTACTCCGGATCGCCACCAGTGCACCATCCTACGTAAGAAACTCAACCTTGCGTAGAGACCTGCATTGGGACACCATCCACGAGTACATGAGGAAAAAAGCGGAGAAGACCTTCGAGAAAGCTCAGGACCACCCGAACGAGCAGCTACGATTCCTCATGGACTACGATCCGGACGAGAGGCCTCGCAACCGCAGAACCAGGTACCCTAGACCAAGGTCCCAGTTGGCACCCGCTAACTGGAACCTTGACTAGGAGACTAGGAGAACCCGCGGTTGCTCCCCCCCCCCCACGGCGTGGATACAGAGGACCAAGAACCACCGGGACCAGGACCCACCGGAACCAGGACCAACCAGGACCAGGACCCGCCACGACCAGGACCCACCAGGACCCTTCAGGACCAGGACCAGGAACAACATATTGGTAAGAGGACTTGAAACTCTTGATTTTTCGAAAACAAGAGTTTCAAGAGAACCTAGCAGACCATCTATCGATGATCGCTTAACGACATCGATAGAATGTGCGAGGTGAAGGGAACCAACCCGGCGTTCCCAGAGACTGAAACACATGAGGAGACGTTGTAGCAGACCGCAGGTCACGCACAACACATGGCCTACCGAGACGCTGATGAGTCGGGCCACGCGGAGGTTTAGGGTTTAGTGGGTATTAGGTGGACAACCTGGAGTCCCACACACGCCGTAGCTCGGGCTATGGTATGGTGCGTAAACGCATTCCCCCCTCACCAAAAAAAAAAAAAAAAGTAAATAAAGTCGTTGCATCTCTGATACGGCTAATGCCATCTAACAGAGGCCCCATGCAGCGAGAAGCGCATCATTTTGGTAAGGGTTGCAAACTCGGTTATGCTATTCGGAGCGTCTATAGCAAGGCCTTAAGGCGGCTCCGACGCAGTGAGTTTCAGGCCATTTACAAGGGTTTAGCTGCTTCGGAATTGACGCTCCGTTTTTCTATATATTTGAATAAAATTTATACAGTATGTTCAGAAGACAATTGTCCAGGGTGCTATAGAGCCACTTTTCTAAAAAAAAATTTTTTTCATGAGTTATGGTGGGTGGAAGTGCAGATAATTGTTGTTCGACTTCTCGATTTTTTTAAAAATAACCCAGAGGAAAAAACGAAAAAGTGGCTCTATAGCACCCTGTGGAGTCTTGTTTTTAGTGCACTGTGAAAATTTCATTGAAAAATATTCAAAAATGAAGCGTCAATTTTGAAGCGCGAAAACCTCTGCAAATAGGCTTTTACACGAATTTTATCCACTATCTCGTGCTGCCAGTCGAAGCAACGCGGCGGTGTGTACGGACTAAGAAAGGACGTATTCAGATAATTTGTTGTCCCAAGTTAAACAGTAGCAGTTTTGACGTCGGTCGTTCGAGATAAACATCGGACCAGTAAGTGATATTTTTAATAGACTTCAATGAAAGAGGGGAAATTTTTAATCGATTTTGATCATTTCTTTTTATACAATAGGCCATGCTTCAGAGGTGATACCACAAAAAATCATTTTTGTTCAATCACCCCAATATGGATATCAAATGGAAGCACTTGTACAAAACAGTAATACGAAAACAGTTTCAAATCAAGATGGCGGCCGTTACAAAATGGCGGATAACATACTTGCTAATATCTCAAATAAGAGTCGTCGCCTTGTAGAATACAGTACTTCACTAAAAATTTGATTCCAAGATTGTCGCCGTTTCGAAATTGCGAGTTACATATTTTTGTACAAAACCCCCAATTTACATATCAAATGAAAAGACTTGACATGTGTGGTAAAATACAGAACTTTGTGACCAAAAGTTTCCAGGTGGTTCCAGGGTCATTGGAGGCGGTAATCTTTTTAGTTAAAAATAATAAGTATAGTGAACGCATTTAACACAAATAAAATCTCACTTGCTGTTTAGCTTTAACCTTATGAAGTATCGTAAAATAAACTTAACACGATAAGCGTCATGAGATATAATGCGTGTGTCGCACCTCATTTGGCGCTTTGGGCCTCGTGACACACATGATATGTCTCACTGCTGGCAGTTATATTTGGCCGCGTAACGTAAGACGTGTGCCATGCTGATGTGATTTTCTTACGGGAACCAAGAGTCCGTGGCCTGAGGGACCAAATTATACTGAATTGGAAATGAAAACATTAAAAAACAGGTTGTTTATAGAGTTTTACAAAAAGGGGATATTCTACAAATCTAAAACAAAAAGCAAATCTTATAAAATAATCAGACATTCTCATTCAAAAATGAACAAAGTAATTTCACAGCAAATCAGTAAGTTATGGTAAATGTCGATATTCTAACGAACACAAATATGGAGGAACTCTTATAAACTAAACAGATTGACAAAGTCTTATGCAGGAATAAACAAAATACCGGTATAAATAAACAGTAATACAGATAAATATGGAATTACTACAACTACTATCTGATTCACTACCACTTGGAGAATACGCATCAGATAAGTATACATCCCCACATAACTCAGTACTGCCACTCTCTTCATCCGATAGTATTTCATTACACAATTGTTCAAGCCTTTTTTGCTCCGCTTCGTAATGCGACATCACTAAATTTGGTATTCAATAATTTATAAACAGTAAAGAAATTTGGACAAGATGACGTACAATACCAACAACGCTTCAATAATAAATGACACGAAACAGTGCTCAACGCGCGACATGATGCAAGTCTTGACTTGCAAAAAACGCGACGCGACTTATGTGCCACGCGACCCGACTGGTCTGTGGGCCACGCGACATACAACTAGTACCTCAGAAAAAAAAATCAAAAAAGGGGAAAAATCATAGGATTTGAGAAAAAAGTCAAGTCAAAATATTAAACCGAAACTTAAAACAGGCTAATTTGACAATAATAACAGTTTGGCCCAGTGGACTGGATTTTCAGATTCTACTGTGGCGCTTAACGTGTCAATGTGACATTTCAATATTCGCCATCTAACAGACTAGATAAAGCTAGCCGATG